GCAGAGGAACAGAATAATAAATCAGAGTTTATACCGAACAAGAAATTTGTTAGATGCCAGATGGAATATCGTACACAGCCATGAACAGTGTAGAGAGACAAGATGGGTGAAGTAATATCTTTTATTGGACTAACTTCTGTTGGTGAAAGAGACAAACTTCTTAATTACACAGAGCTCTTCTTCAGGTCTGGGAAAACGTATTAAGAGTGTCACAGCTAAATGCAAGATTGAACAGACAGTTTGGCATAAGTAGTTAGCACATATTCTAAGGGACTATTCATGATAAAGTATAAAGTATATACCTCACCCACCTTATCTAATATCCTGAAACTGACACGGCTACAACAACATTGCATGAACAGTCTAGCACAACTAAGTCTTTATTGACTTTAAAGAGGTGAAGTATAACAGAATAGTATGACCATATCTGAAGAATCTTTTATGAGTAAAGTTTAATGCAGCTGGATAAGAGAGGACCCAATGAAAGTTTTCACTGATATGAAAGCGGCTGAACGCATATCAACAAGAAATTTTTACACAGTTGAAAGATTCAAGACCTAGGGAACAAAATCTGAATTTTAGAGAGAAAATTGCTATTGAATTATTTTTTAAAAGTGTGTATGAATTTTTATATATATTTTATAGGAGGCATGGGAAGCAATGATTATAGTTAAAGTTATCTGACACTTTCCATTTTAAGCTTTCAATTGCTTATAATTTTGCCAAACTTTAACTGTAGCATGCCTCAGGCTGAATTATTTTGGAAAAATTCAGCTAAAAGAGGTCAACAGTTTCTGCGAACGCTCTCCCTGTTGGTGCTCAGGCAGCAAGGAAAAGAAGAATGTAGTCTGACTAGAATGCAGAGGATTGAGGAGTTGGGTCTGGAGAGGTGGCAGGGAGAGATATTGGGATTGGGACAAGGAGATGAGACTGAGACAAGGACAGATTAGAGGAAACCGGGGTCTAACTAGTGAAGCACCCAGCCCTCAGAACACAGGACTCATGAGTCAACATGCTTTGCCATTGGCAAAGAGCTTTGAAACCCACTGTGTTTCAAATGTGTACCCACATCTCCCTCTAGTTGCTAGCCCACATAGAGGATGACAGCCTACTACTGCTATTGGTTACTCTATTAACTCAGGTGGGAGAGGTCTGTGCTATGTATCTAAGGCCTGGTATCGGCCTGGGACAAGATAACAGAGCACCTTAGTAAAGAATTAAAGGAGGGGAATTAATGCAGATCAAATGGGGAATCATCATCAAACAGTTGTGTTTTGTTGGCCTGGCCGTACGCTATTTAACATTTTTATTAATGACCTGAAATAAAATAATCATTAAAAATTTGCAGATGTCACAAACACTGGAGCAGAGGTAAATAATGAAGAGAACAGGGCACTGATACAGAGCGATCTTGATTGCTTAGTAAACTGGACACAAGCAAACAATACGCATTTTAATATGGCTAACTGTAAATGTAAACATCTAGGACCAAAAAATATTGGCCATGCTTGTATGATGGGGGACTTGATTCTGGGAAGCGGTGACTGTGAAAAAGATTTGGGGGGTTGGGTGGATAATCAGCTGAACATGAACTCCCAGTGTCAAACTGTAGCCAAAGGAGCTAGTGCGATCCTGGGATGCATAAACAAGAGAATCTTGAGTAGGAGTAGAGAGGTTATTTTACCTCAATATTTGGCACTAGTGCTACCGCTGCTGGAATATTGTATCAAGTTCTGGTGCCCACAGTTCATGAAGGATGTTGATAAATTGAAGAGGTTCAAAGAAGAGCCATGAGAATTATTAAAACATTAGAAAACCTGCCTCTAGAGATACGTCTACATGGCAAGCCCCACAGCAGTGACTCTCAGAGCCTGGGTCTAAAGACTTGGGTTCATGCTACCGCACTAAAAATAGCTGTGTAGACATTCAGACTTGGGGCGAAGCTCAGGCTCTGAAACCCAACCACCTCACTTGGCTCCCCTTCATGGAGATCAAATATTTAACAATGGGCTCTTTTACTAACAGAGAAAGTTATAACGTGATCCATTGGGTGGACGTTTGAAGCTAGACAATTCAGACTGAGACTAAGTCATACATTTAAAAAACAGAATAATTAACCATTGGATTCTCCATCACTGAATTTTAAAATCAAGATAGGATGTTTTTCTAAATAAATATGCGGAAGGAATTATTTTGGGCAAGTTCTATGGCCTGTGTTATAACAGGAGGTCAGACTAGATGATCACAATGGTCCCTTCTGGCCTTGGAATCTCTGAATCTTTAAAAAGGTTCTAACTCTGCTGATGAGCCAATACGGTTCCATGTGATGGAATTTCTGTTTTTTCAGCTAGCTTTTTTAACAACTTAGTGAAACAGTTACAACAAGAATGTTAAGATGACAAAGTCAAGCCTCAAAAGTCAGGAAATTGGCCATGCAACTTTATTTCGGCACCCTGGTACATAACAATTATGATACAGTCTTTAATTACTTGATCACATATTATTTGCACTGCCTAACATTTGAGTATTTGACTGTGCAACTGTAACATTCTTTTAACATAGGCTTTTGTATGACAGAGGAAAAATAAGTTAATGGTAAAAGCAACTGAAGCCAGAGGAGAAACAGTAAATGAGCTAGCTCAAGCGGCATTCGGGTTATCTGACAAATACAGTCCAGTGTGGATAGAACAAAATTTGATTAAACCAAGATAAAATTGTTTCTTTTAGGAATCAATGCAAATTTAGAATTATTATCCTTTGCACAAAGAAACACAATTAAACAAAACAAGATGAACCTTTTAGGCCTTGACTAGACAATTCACTGTGCATGGGGACAGGGAAATTGCAGAATCAGGGCCTTGTTTTCAAAGATTTTTAACAAGGACTGCTCAGCGGTACCTCACACAGAAGTTGTGGGCTTGATGCAGGAATTGCTGCATGAGGTTCTATGGCTTGTGTTATGCAGTAGGTCAGATTAGATGATCATAATGATCTCTTTTGGCCTTAAAAGAATCTATAAACATTATATAGCTAAATCAACCATTGGTATTTACTGACAAATATGAACTGCAATTATTTTCGATACATATTCCTTGTTAAATTATTTTTAAAGCTCAGTAGAGGAACAATAGAAATAAAGATACTGCTCCTTATCCATTTTCCAGGAAATAATATGTGTGGCTCAAAGACTTGTTATTAAAATAGTCAAGGGGACTATTTTCAGTTTCACAACATTTTCATTTGTTTTTAAGTAAGATATGTAATCCATGCATTCTTTATAGTTGTTTAATTGTGTTAGTAGTAACTTCCCAGATATCCAGTGTAATACTCAGCAATGTTAATTGTGGATTTAATTGTGTGATTGTCATCTAGGATTTTTAATACTTGGTGGTAATTTCTTCTTACCACTGTATCTTTGTATTCTTCCACAAAATGTTTCTGCCTTCTGTGTAACTGCTTAATGTGCATGTTTTTTTGCTCCAGTTTAGTGGATGTCAAGTACAAACCACATAATGAATTTTTAAGTTTTTTTTTATATTAAACATTTAGCATTAGTGTCAGGGCACATCTGTTCCCAATATTTATTTCTAGCTTTTATGTGCAAGAACTATTCAAACATTCTCTTGAACTGAATAATGTTTCGATTTACTGGTTTAAATTTTCATATGCGGTAATAATGGATTTGTAAATTTCTACAGTATGGCTATAATATCTGGTTGGACAGATATATACTGAGAGAGAGGTAATTCCAATGCCCAAACTAAAGGAATTAGCAGAAATTAGCATGAGATACATATTACTCTTAATCGTTGAAAGGATATTAGCACATACAAAAAAAATCTTCCCTAGACAAGATATCCTCTTACCATTAAAAACTATATTATTGTTCAATATAGTCTTAAGATTATTCTATAGTGGGGTACAGTTTATCCATTGTGGAAGTTTTACATTTCTTTTTTAAACAACGTTTCAGTTTGTATCTTACATTTGGACATATTTATATTAATTTTGTGAGCTTTATAAAAAACAGTTTTCAAACATATTCCCTCTCATTTCTCCTTCAGTTGCTGTTACCCACACAAGTACTTTAACTAAAGAAATATGACTATCAAGTGCTGAACACCAAAATCTGTGCTGAAGTCAAGGGACTTGAGGGTGCTCAGCACATTGCAGGATTAGCCCCTTAAACAGCTGCAGTATCTAACTCCAGAAGTGGAAGACTCAACCTCTACATATCTCTTTTCCTATTATATCTCACAGGGTGAAGCAAGAATTAACGTTTTAAAAAATGGATCCTCACGTGAGAGGCTAATGTGTCTATTTTAAAAATAAAAATATATACCTAGTAAAATGGACAATTTAGAGCCCTGGCATTATCTCCTGCTGAATAGCACCATTGAAAAGTAATAAATAATAAATCATTCAGAAGAAAATTTGAGTTTTATTGTTGTCTGGCAGCTTGTATATGAAAGAAAAACTCTTTTATCCAACAATACTATTTTTCCTTTTTGGTACTCAAGATTTCAAAATGTAACCCAAAATAATAAACTTAGGTAATAATTACTCCTGGAAGAAAATATAAGAAAATCTGTAAGGTGTAGTTAAACATGTGCTATGTTGGTCTTAAATTATCTTGAGCCATCAATGCCATCAAATGACAGACAATACTTGTAACTTGGAGTTTCTGAAAAAATACTCCTGTGAAATAGTCCTTTTAGATATACTTCTAAATCAGGTATTTGGCTGAATGGGTTAATTTGAGCAATGTGGTTAGAAGGGGGATTATTAGCCAAAGTACAGGCAATTAGGTAGGCCAGAATGGCCTTTTCCTGACCATGTTTATATTCCTAACAGTCTGGGGAGCAAGCCAAACAATTCCAACAGAATGAAGAAGTTTGTTAGGATACCTTTGAGGGGATCAAAAACATGAATGCATGTTCTACACAACCAGTACAATGGTAAAAGTGATTTTTTGAAAAAAGCAGATATAAAAAACATACCCTATGTGTGTCTCCGTCGTTCTACCTTCACCAGTGAAAACACACCTAGCTGCTAAAGTATCACCAAAACTAATGTCTACAGGGTGTTCCACAGGATAGAAGGCCTGAAAGAGAATCCAAGGAAAATGGTATATTAGAATTAGTGAACACTCTCAATAGGTGACTTCCTCTGTATTCTTATTTTATCTGTGAATCATTTGCTAATATAAATAATTTCATTCTCTATATTAAAATATATGCACACAAAAATAATATGAATCTGAAATTAAAATGCTTTAAAGGTGATCCACAGAACAATTAACATAATTCTATGATAACTAATCAGACTCAGTGAAAGAAATGAACAGAACATAAAACCCCAACAAAACTAAAACTACTTTAAGTGCCACACCTCTCTCTCGGTGGATCTCACTACATGTGTCTTAGCACCAGGGCCGGCTCTAGCTTTTTTGCTGCCCCAAGCAGCAAAAAAAAGCGCAGCCACCGAGCCCGCCACAGCCGAGCGGCCCCGCCCCCCCCCCCCCCGGGCGCTGGAGAACCCCCCCCCAGAGCGCTGCCCCCCCGCGCCGCCCCCCCGCCGCGCGCCAGAGCCCACCCCTCCCCCGCGCCGAGCGCCGCCGGAACCCCCCCCAGCCGAGCGCCGAGCCCCGCGCCGCCCCCCCGCCGAGCG